ATTCCACAGGCTCACCACTCTCCGAAGAAATTTCTTATCTCAGTCCCAAATGGTTTAACTCTGTATCTTTAGGACTTAACCCTTGGTTGTGGACTCTCCCACTATTGGGAACATGCTTCATGCATCTTCCTGTCTCACCTATTAAAACTTTACAGCTGAGATCCCCCTCATTCTTCCCAGCTCCAATGAATATAATCCTAACCGATCCAGTCTCTCTTCATGTCAGCCCTGTCTTCCCAGGAATCGGTCTGGTAAAGCTTTGTGGCACTCCCTCCAGAGCCAGAACATCCTTCCTCAGACAATGAAACCAAAACAGCACCCAACGTTCCAGATGTGGTCTCACCAAGGCTCTTTATAACTGCAGCAAGACATCTCTACACCTGTACTCATATCCTCTTGTTATGAAGACCAAAATACCACTTGCCTTTTTTACTGCCTGCTGTACCTGCATGCTTACATTCAGCGACTGGTTTACAAGGACAATTGGTCTCATTGCATGCACCCCTCTCTCAATTTATATCCAAATAAATAATAAAGTTCCTTCCTGTTTTTGCTACCAAAGTGAATAACTTCACTTGTGTCCACATTATACTGCATTTGACAAGCATTTGCTCATTCACTCAGCTTGTCCCAACCACACTGGAGCATCTCTGTATCCTCCTCAAAGCTCACTCTCCCACCCATCTTTGTGACATCTGCAAATTTAAAGAGTTCGGGTCCCTGCAGTACCCTACTATTCACCATCTGCCACATCGACAAAAATTGTGTATTTGTTTCCTGTCTGCCAACCAGCTTTCTATCCATCTCAATACACTGTCCCCAATTTAATGCACTTAAAGTTTACACTTTAACCTTGTGTGGAATTTTGTCAAAAGCCCTCTGAAAGTCCAAATGACTCATTCACTGGCACCCCCTCACAACTCCATTTATTACATCCTCAAAGAATTCCAGTAATTTGTCAAGCATGATTTTCCTTTCGTAAATCCATGCTGACTTTACATAGAACATAACAGCGCAGTACAGGCCCTTCGGCCCTCGATGTTGCGCCGACCTGTGAAACCAATCTGAAGCCCATCTAAGCTAAACTATTCCATTATCATCCATATGTTTATCGAATGACCATTTAAATACCCTTAAAGTTGGCGAGTCTACTATTTTTGCAGGCAGGGCATTCCACGCCCTTACTACTCTCTGAGTAAAGAACCTACCTCTGACATCTGTCCTATATCTATCACCCCTCAATTTAAAGCTATGTCCCCTCGTGCTAGCCATCACCATCCGAGGAAAAAGGCTCCCACTGTCCACCCCATCTAATCCTCTGACTTTGTCTGATTCTGCCACTGTTTTCCATATGATCAGTTATTAATTCTTTTATAAAAACGACTCACCATTTTTCCCCACTATTGGAAAATATGTACCAACAGATTTAAGAACAGCTTCTTTCCTGTTGTTATCAGACATATGAATAGACATCTCATATTAGAATTGATCTTTCTCTGCACAGTCTCTATAGTTGTAACACCAAATTCTGCATTTTGTTCAATGTACTTATATAAGGTATGATTTGTCTGGATAGCATGTAAAACAATAGTTTTCACTGTATCTTGGCACACGTGACAATAATAAATCATCGATGTTAGGCAGACAAATCGCCAAAATAACCTCACAACACACACACACAAACTTCAAAGACATATACTGAACATAATGCTAGTTAGAGGCATTGTTAAAAATCATAGAAAATACTCTACAGCAGAGATGCAACAAACTTTATTTTTAAAAAAAAAATTCTTTCATGGGAAATGGAGGTTGCTGACATGGCCAGCATTTTGTTGTCCATCTCTAACTGCTCTTGAACCAAGTAGCTTGCTTGACGTTTCGTGTGTAAAAATCAGAAAACAACAGTGATATACATTTCATTCTCAGACTGGAGGACTGTGTATAATTACAAGATGGCGGCGTAGGAAGTGTTAGGGTTCGGTGCCTCTATGTTCCCACTCACCTGGCTGGCCAAATTTTTCTTTGGTTTGGTTTCTTCATTTCTGTTTTGTATCAAAGTTCACCTTTACTTCTTTGGGAGGAAGGAAGTTGCAAGGGCCTGCAGCAGCAGCAGCATGGTGGATCTGGATGTCCACTCCTCGAGGCCATTGTGGCTGTTGCGGCAGTTTCAATAGTGGTGGCTTGGTGGTTCCAGTTCATTCCTTGTGGCTGTGGCGGCTTTGGGCGGTGACTGCTTGAGCGATTGTGATTTGGCGAGCCCGGTCTGCCCCTTCTTGCTATGGTAGTGATGTTGATCCGGTCTGGGAATCCTTGCTTTAGTGGCTTCAGGGACAGCTTCGGCAGCGGCAACCCATAGCCTCTCCATAAACCCAGATTGCGACTGATGGAACAAGAGATGAACTTTGTTCTAACTTGGTCTCAACTATTTTTTTTTAATAATTTCTGTAATAAAAATGGTGGCGAATTGTGGCAACCTGTACACATCTCACTGTAGATCACAATAAATTGCTATTCTATTTTAATGAAGTTACCCAGAGTTCGACACTCAGACTACTGCTTTTCACCTGCATCAGCTAATATGAGAATAGGGAATGACTTTGTCAGTTTGTCAGTGTTTGCTTTTAAACAAAAATAAGTGCAAGAACGTTAAGAAAATTTGTGGCGTGCTGTGGCTCAATGAAAAACTCTGGGAATGACATGGATCTAGATCCTAGGATGATGTTCTTTTACGATTTTGCATCTTGTCTCAGCTGCTGTTGTGCAATTGTCACAACTGTCCAAAAATAAGCATAGTTTTCACAGGTTGTTGCATCCATGTTACCCTAAAATCCCTTCAGACAGAAGTATGTTCTTAATAAAATTATACTTTTTTTCCAACTTTGTTACAGCGCTTCAACATAACAAAAAAAAACATCATGGAAGAGCTGTGTAATTGTAACACCACGCATTTAACAGAGAATAGCAGAGGTATGTGTGCCAAGTGTCCCCTTGTCTAAATTTGTATAATTACCTAGATTTGTGTGTGTAAGGCACAACTTTAAAATTGCAGATAGCACAGAATTTGAAAGTACAGTGGGCCATGAGGAAAATAATGATAGGTTTCAAGAGAACATAGGCTAGAAGCATGACTTGTTAAGTCAAATAGTTTCGGGTCAGGAATATTACTTCTACATCCAGTAACAAAGATATGATCATTACAGAGCTGGCTATTTTCCACCATCAATCTAAATATTCGGATAGGGAAAATTAACATTGATCAATGCTACAATGAATGAGATGAACTCCTTAATATCGATTTAGAAACAGACAAATTAGCAATTCTTTTTCATGGTGTTGTTGGCGATAAATTAGAGGATCACTTAGTTTTTGTACAGTTTAATACAAGAAAAGTGTCCTAACTAAGGTAATTAATAAAGGCGAAAATTTGATTGACTAACAAATTCAAGGATCCTCTCCAAATTAACCAAGTAAAAGCAGTGGTATTTGGGGAAGAAGTTCTAACTGCATAAGCTCCCCAGGCTTGTGGGCAGGATCAACGAAAACTGTTTTGAATATAGGAAATAAATTCTCAGTCTTAAATTGGAATTAGAATGGGGAATAAAAAAGAAAATAAATCAACAAAACTTGTTAGGAAGAAATTCAAATAGGCACCAAGGCAGAGAAAGAAATTAAATACAGGAAGCTTATAGGGAGGAAATTTAAATCTAAATCAACAATAAACTTTTGGTCAACAGGAAACCAGTCAAGTTTAAAAAAAAAATCATGTAGCAGGGAACAACATAGGGGATTATAAATAATATCTGTAGGTCAAAAGATGTATTGTGATTTTTCGGACTTTCTATCTCCATTCTAAAATTCACAATTCTTTACACTGCCTGTTACATTTCATTCTGGTCATGCAACTATCATATTGGGAATGCCTAATGCAAATATAGCAAGTATCTGCCCTGTGTAATTATTTAATTAAGTAACGAGGCAACACACTCAATCTATTTCCTGAGGCATTATTTTGTGCAACAGAATGTTTTGCAAATTTAGATTTTTTTTCTCATTAATAGGAAGATTCTCAAGTTACAAACTAACTAATGCAATACCCCAAGGGCAAGATAGTAGTAACCAACATCTGTACTGCATAACAAATATGCAATTATCATTTAAATGGAATGAAGAAAGCTATACATCAGTTAGAAAAAAATAAGCTGAGAATTGACATTTTAAGTATCTTCAACTGAACCAACAGTGGGCAGGGTAGTAGGGCTACAATCATCTTGCCATTCCTTTATTTACTCTCCTGGTCTGCTCTGCATTTAATCCTGGACTTCTTTTTTTATTTTAAACATCTTAATCATCAAGTTCTGGATGGCAAAAAAATTCACTATTTCTGAAACTGTTATTTTATCAACACTTAGAAAATCTATACAAATGAAAAAATATGCACAAGTTCAGCTTTATGAACTGCAATATGCCACAAGACACATTGAAATTTGAGGCCAAGATCAAACCAAACTATATTAGTTTTTTTTCTAATCCCATTCCCATAGGAATTCACATTAATATTGAACGGAGACCTGATCTATGGACTTGTAGATAAAGATCAACTATAATTTCACAGGGTGGTGGAACACCCTAAAGTGACAGAATGGCCTGCTCGTTAAATGAAAATATGAGCACGCGCACACACACACAGACACACGCGCGTGTGCACGCAAAAACAGAAAATGCTGGAAAAGCTCAGCAGGTCTGGCAGCATCTGTGGACAGAAATCAGAGTTAACATTTCGGGTCCAGTGACTCTTCCTGAGAACCCAGCTCTGAGGAAGAGTCATCGGACCTGAAATGTTAACTCTGATTTCCCTCCACAGATGCTGCCAGATCTGCTGAGCTTTTCCAGCATTTTCTATTTTTGTTTCAGATTTTCAGCATCCACAGTTCTTTCAGTTTTTATTTAGCACCTTCTTCCATCATGTCAAATAAATAAGTGACTGATTCAAATTCATTCTTTTGCACTTTAGTTCATTTGAACGTTACTGGACCTGGCCTCAGTTCCTGGGCAACATCAAAAAGTTCACTAATAATACATCAAAAATATAGAATAATTACCCAATACTGTCAAAACAGTAACAATTCAAGAATTCAAATGGCTGCATAAAGTATGACAGGAGGCAATTCCACTTCGCTGTTTAACTCATTTTGCAATTTTGACATGTTTTCAAAGAAAGGAATTAGACAACAGTTCATTTTAAATGCCGGGCTTTTAAAGCAAAATGTAGCATACAATTTAAAAGCACTGAAGCAATAGGTGGTTAACGTGTAATGAGTAAATTTTGACATTGTCTCCCTACAGACTGCAAATCGTCAACAATCCATTAGTCTGTCTCAAAAAAAAAAATCAATAAACAATTGACACCTAATAGTGCTGGCAAGTTTCTGGTCCCAAGCAATTAGCAGGCATTGGTCTGGAAGACCTTCCTGTCCAGTTGTGAACATTGTATAAAAGACAATGCAGTCAGACTTCAACCAGGTTCAGGTGAAGGCAAAAAGGTAGTTAGGATTTCTTTTATTTAAGTGGGAGAGCCTCTTGTGGTAGTGTCCCTACTCCTGGACTGAGGCGCCCAGGTTCAAGTCCCACCTGCTCCACAGGTGTGTAATAACATCTCTGAAAAGTTGATAGAAAAACAGATTAAAATAAAAAAATTGAAGTGCAATGAACTACTTTTGTGGAGCTGAAGAGTTTGATCATTATTTCTTATCATCTGGCAATTTGAAGTTGTACTGATTGAATTAAACAAGAAACAATTTCGATGACTGATGTTCAATGTTTGTAAAACAGCTGAATAATTTGTCAGATCAGATTTACTACCTGCTTTTATGGGTTGCCATCAAAAATATTGCAAAGATAAATTAGGTACACATGAATACTTAATAAAGATCACAGTCCAATGTAGGGCAATCAATCAATAATAATCAGCAATGCCGGATTTTCTTTTTGATTCTTCTTCTGGCAGTTCCTAAAGATCAAGGAGAACTTGCTTCCACTCTGACTTGATGGATTGCATGATTGTCACGAAACCCAGTGGAGAATTTGCAGACAGTGTCACATTCAGCACAAGTAGTGCTTGAAGAGCTGGGTTGTTGGGATCCCCCCCACCCAGGTTTGTGCACTACCTCCATCCCCTTGACTTCATCTCTGCACATTCTCCATAATGTCGAGTTATGTCTGCTGTCTTCCAAAATGACCTTTTCCCATTTTGGTCAACCCCAAGCCAATGTGTCCCATGAGTTAGTATATACTTGCTCTCTTCATGGCTGTTTTGAGAACGTTCCTGAAGTAATTCTATTGTTCTCCTGGGAATCTCTTCCCACGATCAAATTCTAGGATGATTCAGGAGTCTAGCGTCAGGCAAACAAAATGTTCAGCCAATTACAGCTGGTTGAGTGATGAGTGCTCCAATGCTGGCATTTTGGGTTAGGGAAGAATGCTGCTCTTGGTGTACCTTTCTTGCTATTGGCTTTTAAGGATCCTGCAATAGCACCACTGGTAGCAATTCTCCATTGCTTTGAGGTGGCTAGTGAAACTTGTCCAAATTTCTGAAACACTCGTTGAGTAGACTACATCTGCCTTCAGTGAGAAGTCATCTACAAGGTGCAGAAAATGGTCCACGGTTCCTAAAATTTCAACATTGATCTTAACTGACAGGAGGTTGTGAATAGGAAAGGTGTTATGCTGTGGGAGCTGGTTCATTTCCCAGGTATTTTGTGAGAGACCCATTTCCTCATTCTTTAAAGAAGTCAATAATGTTCTGGAACCTCAGTTTGAGAGTGCACACACCATTATTTGCTTTTGGAAATTGAACTCTACGCAGCTGAACAGCTCTCCATTTGTTGTGTACACTTTCTCCACATCTCTGGGTAAGTTGTCAGAGATGAAGTGCAGTAATGTAGTGAGGAAAAGGGAGAAGAATTAGGGCAAGTACACACCCTTGATTGACCCCATGTTCACTGAGATAGAGTGGTTATGATGATTCCACTGATGAAGATTGCAGCTTGCATTTCATTATGATGTAGACTGAAGACAGTGATAAATTTCTGATAGGAAAAAAAAGTTAAGGAAGACACCCCTTAGGCATTCACAGTTGACAAAGTCAAAGGCTTTCATATGGATGAAAATGGGCATTTGTAAATTCTTATTTGTAGACTGACCTATTTACTATATAACTCCAGAATTTCAAATGTTTATTCATTCTTACGTGGAAGGGAAATCTGAGGAGATACTTTGACGGTGAAATAAAGGATTGAATTTAACAAACCTGCGAAGTTTTGCTGCACTCGTGTTAGTGAATTAGTGGATGCTCTGGAATTGCATCCTGAAATATTCCATCCCAAAAGAAACATTTGACAAACAGATTTCTATGTTGCATATCAGTCTTCACAATTATGCTAAGAAAATATCATGATTGTATTGAGTAAAATTTGATTGCAATGCTCAACTATAATCAGCACAGAATAACAATTGAAAGCTTGGAAATACAACTGTCAAACTAAATCTACAAGATTGAATCCTCAAATTTATAAAAGCTATAATGGAATACTTGACAAACCATTAAAACTTCAGATCCTTAAACACTAGCTGTCATGTATGCAGCAGGTCATAAAAATACACAATTATTTTCCATAATTTATAACATGTATTTTTATATCAAAATTAATGTTTGGTAATCAAGTTGGAATAAAATTGCAATTTTACTCCTCCTGCAGTAAAGCTGTGATTTACGAGTAATAAGTGGATAGATCATCTAAAACATCTGCACTGTATAATGTAAGCCAGTTTGAAGTAAATTCATCAACATTTTCCATTTTAGCAGAACTCTCCAAGCATCTTTCATTCCTCAACTAGAATAATTACTTTAAATCGGTGCCCTTTGGTTCTCAACCCTTTTGTCAATGGGAATGATTTCTCTGCATCTATTATGTCCAGAACCCAAGATCCTGAATACCTCTATCAAGAAACAGAAAGCAGGATAAAAGGCAAATGGACTCACTGTTAGTGCACATGATCACAGCCGAAATCTATTTGAATAACATACTCCCCACTTTTCATCCCATAGCCCTCGTCAACATTATCCTCCATTTCTTTCTTAAATATACTAAGTCAGTTGACTTCCACAACCTTCTATGGTACAGAATTCTACAGGTTCACAACCTGAATGAAGAAATTTCTCATCATCTCAGTCAGAAATTACCTACTGCATATCCTGAGACCACAACCTTTGTTATGGCACACCTGGTCAGGAGAAATATCATCTCTACATCCAATATATCCAACCCTATCAGAATTTTATATTTCAATGAAAAATCTCGTGCTGATAATCTCCAGTGAATTCAGGCCCAATCTCTAATACAACAAACCTGCCAGCTCAGGAATCAGTCCAGTGAGTCTTTGTGCAGTTTTGGTCATCTTTGTTTGTCATAGAGAGAAAGAAACAGACTATCTCAGGTGTGCTCTCACCATGGACCTATACAGATGCAATAAGATCTCTTTGCTTCCATACTCAAACCCTCCTATAATGAAGGTCAACATACTATTATCCTTCTTAATTGTTTGCTGCACCTGCCTACTTGCTTTCAGTGACTAGTGCACGAGGATATCCAAATACCAAAGTGGACACACATTTGCTCACTCACAACTTGACTAAATCTCCCTGAAGCCTCAGTTATTCCTACTGTTCCCTGTCTGCCAACCAGTTTTCAAATCATATCAGCATATTACCGCAATCCCACATGCTCTGATTTTTGCACAACATCTAATGTGGGACTTTATCAAAAACTTTCTGAAAATCCAAATACACCATATTCACTTGTTTTCCCTCATCTATTCTACTAGTTACATCCTGAAAGACAAAATCCCACAGGCTTGTTAATAATTATTTCCCTTTCACAAATCCATGCTGGTTGTGTAATCCAATTGGTATTCACCAAGTACCTTGTTATCACATCCATTAAAATAGACACCAGCATTATTGGGCTCCTTGTTGTACAGTGGTTATGTCTATACCTCTGGGCCTGGAGGCCTGCATTCAAGTCTCACCTATTCCACAGCTGGGTCATAACATGTCGGAACAGGCTGATTACCAATATACAGCTGCGAGCATTTCCTTACTGCTGATGTTAGGCTAACCAGACTTAAATCCCCAGTTTTCTTCCTTCCTCCTCTTTTTTAAAATAATGAGGTTACATTTGCCACCCAAAATGTCAGAAAATGGCAACCAAATCACTTCTTCCAACGCACCTTCTTTCATACCTCTAGATATAGATATCAGGACCCAGGAACTAATCAGCTTTCAGTCCCACTGATTTTTCAGTTTTTTTTAAGCAATACTAATTCCTTTCAATACTTTCTTTCCAACAGAATCTTGCTTGCCCAGGATTTCTGGGAAATTATTTGCATCTTCTGTGAAAACAATTACATAGTTATTTAATTGCTCTGCCACTTTCCGGTTCTCCATTATCCATTCCCCATGTCAGACTATAAAGGGGGCTACATTCATCTGCACTAATTTTTTCTTTCTTTACATATTATAAGAACTCTTACAGTCCACTCTTATGTCTTTTGCAAGCTTCACTCATACTTCAGTACTCTCCTTTTATAGCACCTTCTTCCTCCTTTGCTCTCATCTAAATTTCTCCTGGTTCTCAGGTTTGCTACTTTTTTTTTTCTGGCAACTTTAAATGACCCCTCTTAGGAATGAAAACTATCATTATTTTTGTTTGTTAACCATGCAGTGTTCTTGAACCCGAAAATAATGCATAACTGTTGCAATGCACATATTTGACCTTTAATATTATCCATTTTCTATCCATTGTCATGCCTTTTAGTGAAACTGTCCTTCTAAAATAGCCGATTTACATCTCATATCTTTACTGTTTCATTTGCTGAGGTTTAGGATTGGCTTACTTCACTTTCAAACCCTTTCAAGAACTCTATCATATTGTAGCCACATTTTCCTAAAGGTCCTCTCTCAGCAAAGCTGTTGATTAATCCCATCGCATTGCATAAAACCAAAGCTAGGATATCATGTTCCTTCGTTAGCTCTTCAATGTATTGATTTAAAAGAAACAATTTTGCACACACTTCAGAAATTCATCCACCACAATATTATTGCTAATGTAGTATGTCCGATTTACATGTAGATTACAATCACCCAAGATTATTATAACACCATTGTCACATGCATCTCTAATTTCCGGAGTATTGCCATTTCCTAACTTAATACTCCTGGTTGGATACAAATAGACAACTCCCACTGATATTTTCCACTCCTTACTGCTTATTTGCTCCACCCACACTAGACTTCGTGCACAGATTATTTCTTATGATTGCATTGACTTCAACTTTCACTATCAATGCCACCTCACCTCCCTTACCCTTTATGTATGTCCTTCCCAATACTAAACATCCTAATATGTTCAGTTCCCAGCCTTGGTCTCCTGCAGCGATGCCTCCTTAATCACAGTCATATTGTATCGATTTGCACTGTTGATTTGTCAAACTTATTGTGAATGGTCCATGTGTTCGAATATACTATCTTCAGACTTGTATTATTGAGCTTTTTCCACTTTTGTTGTACTACAGTACCATTTGTTTTTTTCCCTCAATTCCTCTGCTTTATACTTTTGCTTTCTTCTCTTCTATTATTTCATTTTCATCTCCATTTCCCCTCACTCTCATCTCACTACTTCGATTCTTGTCCTCCTGCCACTGCAGTTTAAAGCCACCTCTCAGTACTGACAAATATCCCTGCAATGACATTGGTACTGCTGGGTTGTGACTCATGCTGCTTGTACAGATTCCATCTTCCTCAGATTCAAATCTTCTCTCAAGCTTCCCTTCTCCAAGGAAAACATCCTCAGCTTCTGCAATCTATCAATACAACTGAATTTGCTTATCCCTGGAACTATTCTTATAAGCCTTTGCTGCATCACCATTAATACCTTCATAGTGAGTCTGGCATCCAGAATTTGATCTAATGCTGGTGAGACTGAACCTGTTCTTTATGATAGTTTGTTATAACTTCCTTGATTTTATCTATCAATACAGTTGTATTTATAAAGTCCAGAATTCAACATGCCTTGCTAACAATTTCTCAACCTGTCTTGCCACCTTCAAATATACATGCATATGTGTATCTACATCTGTACTTCTGAACTTGCCTTTTATACATTTTTTTTTTAAAAATTAGTTCTCCTCTTTCTTCTGACCAAAATTATCACTTCTCTGTATTAAATTCCATCTGTCACACTTCACAATGCTTTCAAATTTTTAAACTCTACCCTAAACAGACAAGTCTACGCCATTAAGTATACATCATGATAAGCTGTATCAATAGGACTAACACTTCTATATACCTTCCTCTAACATGAAAGAGCCTTAGTTTTATAGCACACAGCCAGCTTCGTTTTTATGACATCACTGCTCTCTTCTCCACATACTTGAATGCTGCTAATTATCTTGTTATGTGGCATTTGATCGAATGCCTTTGGAAGTCCATGTACACTACATCAATTACCCTCATTTGTCTTTTACCCCATCAAAAACTCAATGAATTTAGGTCAACACAGTTGCCTTGAATAAATCTGTACTGGCTTTCCTTTTTTAATCCATATTTGTCAATGTAACTTTACTTTCTCCTGATTATCATTTCTAAATATTTCCCACCACACAGGTTAGATTGATTGAGCTGCATTTACGGGGTTTATTGCTCTATAAGTTTTGGAACAAGGATGCAACATCTGTAATTTTCTAATCCTTTGACGCAACCTCTGCATGCAAGGGGGAACATGCAAGTGGTGATAGTCAATGCAATTCTAGCCCATATAGAAAAATACATCTGATCCAGTCCAGGTGAATTATCAACTTTAATTACAATCGGCTTCATCATCTCTCCTCTATTTTTAATCCTTCAAGTATATCAACTACCTTCTCTTTCACTACCCCTTTGGCAGCATCTTCTTTCCTTATACAGACAGATGAAAAATATGGATTTAAGGCCTTTAGCCATGCTTTTTATCTTATGTATAAACCTGGAAAATCACCATACCTGGTCTACCATGTACAATTTTGGTCCCCTTACCGAAGAAAGGGTTTACTTGCTTCACAGAGCATACAATGAAGCACTGATTCCTGGATAGAGGACGGTCTTATGAGGACGAGGACAAGACCAATATATCCTCTTATTCAAAAGAATAGAAGTTAATCTTATTGAAATGTTAAAATTCTAAGCAGCAAGGCAGGACAGATACTGTAAGACCATTTCCCCAACTAAGAAATCGATAACTAAAGGCTAACGTCTCAGAAGAAATAGTTGGTCATTTAGTATGGTTGTGAACTTTGCAGTTCAAGACAGAAATAGATTTTTGGAATTTACTAGGGAATTCAGAAATTTGAGAACATTAAGGGATGGTTCCACTGAAACAGATCAGCCATAATCTGTTGAATGACAGTGCAGGATTTTGAGGCTAAATGGCCTGTATTTTCCCAAGCTCTTATGTTCTTAACTGAGCAAAGGGAAAGGTATTTCAAATGAATAAAATGTTAAATGTTCAAATATGTGTAAGTGCATTTATGAAAGTCTGTAATTTTCAATAACTCTGCAAGATGGCTATATCGAAATTGTGGGTTTCTGATAGACAGAGTTTGCGAATCACAGGAAACAAGTCACACAATACATAACAGTGCTATTAGGGTTTGAACTTATTCTTTTAAACATTTTATCTTTATGGTAAACCACAGCCTACTGCTTAGAACATTAATGCACCGTACTGCCACCTTGCCAGATTTTCTAATTTTGCATGATGCAAACATATACTTTCTGAATGGCTGATCTGCAGTTGCATTATTTCAAACCATTTCAGGTTTGTTTGGTGAAATCTGATTTTAAAAAATCTTAATCAACTGAGCTGAGAAGTACATTTATGCTAGATTACTGTAAAGGTGCATTAGCATCAGCTAATTGTGTTGAGGAAAAGATTGTGGTATAGTATGTAAAAATTTCAATGTTGCTGCAACAAATGATTGAAGAAATGGAGAAGCAGCACCTAAACAAGCCAAACTTACTAACAAGCTATGCATGCATCCAGTATATTTGATATTATTGTGCAACCAAAATAAAACAGAAATACACTATAAAGAAAAAAGATTGAAATATTTGAATATTCTGAAAGGAAGTATTATTTCTATAAAATAAAGGGAAATATTTTGCTAATTAAAGAAAGATGTTATTAAGTGCTAGATCTTGCAGTCATCAAGACAGATGCAGGAATGCCAAACTTCAAAAGGGAGCAACAATTTATATGCATGAGCAAAAGGTGCTGATTGGTTGGCAAGTTGATTCTGATTGGTAAAGGTCCTATTGTGAAAAGTTCACCAGTGAACTTTTGTTCTCCACACTTCTGTTTAATTTAAACGAGGCACAATAACTGGACTTGTTCTTTTACCAGGCAGAGGATGGTTCCTTGCATGTGAAAAACAAAGCTTCCAGTAAGCACAAGTGAGAAACATCATAAGCACAAGTGAGAAACATGTTATTATAAATTTGCATTGCTGCTATATACACAATTAATCTTGTCACAAAATGCATTTAGAAGCCAGAGGAAGACTGCTTAAAAGAAACATACGAAGATTTTCTCATCTTCAAAGTAACAAATTAGCTCCACAGTAATCTATCCCCCGACTGCCAGGTGACCACAAACACTACCACCTTTCCACTCTCATAGATCCGCATGGACCAAAGCCACAATGCAATCTTTATTCTTTTAAAATACTTCATCACTTGCCCAGGGAATTCAGTACATCTCATTTCAGTTCTGTTACCACCATAATGAATAAAACCTAATTTACTGAGTTTAATTAGTTTATTCAATATATTCCTCTTTACTTTAATGAATTTCCCTCATTCACTATCATAGCTACTTGTTAGATCACTCTGGCAGAAATCGAAACAAAATAGTTTTCTTTTCAATGTTTCGGCTACCCATTGTTATTTTTGATATTATCCTGTCTGCCCTTTAATCATCCTGTTCCCATTTTTATTGATGTGCCTGTGAAATGTTTTACTTTTTGCTTCATGTTCATTGAAAATCTAATTTCCTCTTGGCATTGGGTTTTTTTGACTTATCTCCTAATTTCTTAATATGCTCTCAGATGATGCACTCTCCTGATGTCTGTATAACGGAGGTATGCCTCTCTCCTAATTCGCAATTGCTCCCTATGTCTTTGTCATAGAGTATAACTGGTGCTTAGGTTATTCTTTCTTTTAGCAAAACACATTTTCCTGCATTTTTTGAACACTGTTTTAAATGGTTCCTATTATTTGACATCAATGTTTATCCATATATTTACCCATTTCCATGATCTCAAGTTTTATTCTCAGCTCCTCAAAAATCACTTTTTCTCCAATCTATTAATCTGATTTGCCTCTTTTTTATGTCCTTCTCTATCATGTTTAGGCACATTAAATTACGGTCACTATGGCCTTCTCATTCCCCACATCTCTTACTTGCTTTGATTCGCTCCCTGTTACAAAATACAATTGTGACTCTCTCCTTTTTGTTTATATACTGGATTAGAAAGGCCTTATACAAACATTGAAAGTAGTCTATACCCTTACTGTCTTCACCTAACTTTTCTGTTCAGATAATATTAGCTGGTTTAATATTGCCTTCAAATTGATCACAGTAGAGCATTACACAGGGGGCCATTCAATTTGGGCCAATAAGAAGAAATGTAGTAATTAAAAGAAATAATATAGTTATGAGGGTAGATGGTATACTTTTTGTTAAAATCATTTAGTTTTATATTTGTTCACAGGATGTAGACATTGGTGTCTATAGCAGTATTTATGGTCCAACTCTAATTATGCTCAAGGTGGTGTTGGTGAGCTGACTTCTTGAAACACTGAAATCAATGTAGTGTAGGTACACAGTGTGATTGGATGGCTGTAGCCTGGTTTGGGAGAAATGGATTTCAATTCATGGGGTACGGGATATGTATGGATGTGCATATGATTTTAACTGGCGGATTTACCTGCTCTTGGAAGTGTGAACCAATTGAAATTGCTACTAGTTCAGGCATTATTTCTAACCACACCCAACAACTGTCTTTAACTTGCTATCTTATAGAATCATAGAATCTCTACAGTGCAGGAAGAGGCCATTTGGCCGATTGAGCCTGCAACGACCCTCCAAAGGGCATCCGACTCAGATCCAGCCCACTACCCTATCCCCACGAACCCTGCAAGGGATTTTTACTATGGCTAATCTATCTATCTTGTACATCCTTGGACACTACAGGGAATTTAATATGGCCAATGCACCTAACCTGCACATCTTTGTGGGAGGAAACCCACACAGACATGTAAACTGCACAGAGTCACTCAAGACTGGAAACAAACCCAGGTCCCTGACACTGAGAGGCAGCAATGCTAACCATTGTGCCACCATGCTGTCCCTATCCTAATTAAATTTATCTGTAATAATGAAATCTGTCAAACAACTCTGAATTAACTATGACAATTATAATATCTAATACATTAGATTCAAAACCCAAATGTATAGTGGACACAACGTCAATTATCGCTTTCAAGAACGAACCATATCACTATTTAAAACGAAACATTTATGGGACCATGGGTAAAATGTCAGGGGAGCAACACGAAATGAATTGCTCCTTTGGGGGTCAACTTATACAATACTAACTGAATGGCCTCCTTTTCTGCTGCATCTATGCCATGATTCAGTACAACAGATTTTATGCATCACTAATTGATAATGCAACTTGATATGTTGACGTACCATATTTCTTGCAAATTTCATCATAGCGTGCTTTTTTATCAGCATCCCTGAGAAAAAAGAAAGAGAAATTAGATTTTCAAACCAGTAAATCAAAGCCTCAATGAAAGTTACATTAAACCGCAGGAAAAAGGAACAGCAGTAGGCCATATGGCCCCTTGAGCCTGCTCTGCCATTCAGTAGGATGATGGCTGATTGGACACTCCTCACATCCACTTTCTGGTCCTTTCCCCATAAACCTAGATTCTTGATCAGTTGGGGAATCAATCTATCTCAGCCTTAAATACAAGGATTCTGTCCCCACAGTTTTCTGTTGCAAGGAGTTCCAAAGACTTACAACGCTCAAACCAGTAATTCCTCCTCAGCTCGGTCTTAAATTGGTCCCCCTTAATTCTGACTCATGCACTCTGGTCTTAAGACTCTCCCAAAAGGGGAAAACATCCTCTCAGCATTACTCTGGCAAGCCCCTTAAGAATCCAATATGATTCAATTACAGCACGTCTCATTCTTTTAAATTCCAATCAGTAGAGTCCCAATCTGTTTAATTGTTGCTCTTAAAATCCCTCCATACTGGGAATCATCCTAGTGAACCTTTTCTGAACTGCCTCCAATGAAATGATATATTTCCTTAAATAAGGGAATCAAAACTGCTGACAGTACTCCAGATGTGGTCTCACCCGCAGCTTGTACAGTTGCAGTAAGAATTCCCTACTCTTATATTCCAACTCTCTTGAAGTATGGGCCAACACTACATTAACCTTCCTGATTACCTGCTGCACCTGTGTGCTGGTTTTGTGTTTCTTGCACAGTATTTAGTTCCTTTGTGTTGTAGCTTTCTGCAGTCTTTCTCCATTTAAATAATACTGCTCTTTTGTCCTCCCTTCCAAAATAAACAACTTCACGTTTACCCACATCATACTCCATTTGCCAATGTTTTGCCCACTCAACCCATCAATTTCTCTCTGTAAACCTTATATTCTAGATAGTAGCTGGCAATCATCTAAAACGTGGAACAAGACCTTATGAACGAATCGGTTTTCTTTTTGAAGATAACAAAGTTGTGATGAAGATATTCTTAATTAGACTTACTGCAGCAACTTACATTTTCAATTTAACAAAATGGAGTATTTTAAAATCAAGCCCAAAAAAAGCATGAACAGCATCTTATAAAAAAAAGTCCTTTCAGCTCTCTCCTTTTCTCACCTAACAGGAATTCATTTGGATTACGCAGCTTTTAAAATACAGAGGCAAACATATGTATGGGATAATAGAATTAGATATGACAACTTGAAGAACAAGACAGGGCATGGTAGAACTAATCAGAAGTTTAAACGGTCCTGATTTTGATCTGAACGGCAAAGAAATGCCTTTTGTAATTCAACACGTATGACTTTGCGTACACTGTTCACTACTTGACAATAATGCGGTGACCAAGCGTAAGTCAAACAGCAAAACCAAACAGACGGAAAAATTCTCTCTGGCTGGAAAGTAGGAATTAAAGCAAACTGGAAATATAAATTACATGTAAATAATGGTAAGGGAAGCAAAGCAAAGATGGAGACATGTACATGTGATAAAGGGGAAGGTAAAGACAAAAAACAATTATTACAAAGAAAAGCAAATTACTGCAGATGCTGGAATCTGTATATTTTTTGTTATCATTACGAAGTGTTTAGTTTTTAAAAAAATCTGTAACACAATGGCAGATGAAATATAATGCAGAGGGGTATAAGGTAACAAGAATAAACAAGCAGAAATTTTATTTAAATGTTTTAAAGCTTCAGTGATAGACTCGGGAGGGCTTGTACAAGGAATACAACATTAGCCTGGAATTACAGCAAACAAGTTTCTGCTGCTCTTTTGGGGAATAATGTAATCTTACAGGGTTTGCAGAGTTTACACTCGGAGCACTGTGTGTAGTTTTGGTGTCCACATTCCTCCATTGGAGAAAGTATATTGAAGGTTCACTATATGGATATGCATGATGGGCATGTTGATCCCATGGAGGGAGCCTGGGTAAATTAGACAGAAGTGTACTGGAGTTTAGAACAATGAGAAATGATCTAAATGGAACATACAGGTTTTTGAACAGATTTTACAGGATCAACATTAAACAGTTGTTTCCACGGCTGGAAAATCTAGAATAGGAGGGCACAGTCCAGGATAAAGGGGTCAATCATTTAGAACTGCGATCAGAAGAATTTTTTCCAATCAAAGGGATGTGAATTGCTCAAATTGTCTACCTTAGATATTTTACAATCCCAGCTGTCAGCAATACTGGACAAGTCAGATGCTAAAGCGAAATCTGGCTTGATAGACCAGAAGTTTAATTTTCACTATTTTTTCACTGAACATATTCACAAAACACTGCCAAAATAAAAGATCTAAGGTTTTGAGACAAGAAAAAAAAGAAGACACCATTTCACGCTATACAACAACTATTTGAAATTATCTTATTACATCCATCAGAAATAGATAATCCTTTTACCTTCAACAATAACATTTCAGATACCTGAACCTGAATGAAGGATCATCCTGTTCCCACTTTCAACTTCCTTGTTCAGTTGGCATTGGCTGTAATTGGTTTCTGGAGGTTTCTTCTTGTTGACTCTTAAACCCTTTTAGAGGAAAGGCATGGCTTTCCCATACTTCCATCAGTTTTGTTTCTGGAGTTTTCCTCTAACCCACACAGGATTATTTTTCCAACCCTGACATTCTGGATAGGGCTAAATTAAAAGCACCTTTTTGCTCTGACTGAACTTGTAGACACTTCCCGACATTCTGGGTGGTTATCTTTCTGTGATATTGACTCTTGGCACTATGGAATGGCACTTTTTTCCTATTTTATCCTCATTTCAATGCATTGAAGTCTTCACCTCAAGCTTTACTCCAAGGATGTAAATCCTCATTAAAAATATATGGGGCAAGTCAGGAGTATGACGGAATGCTGCCCACTTGCCTGGATGACTGCAGTTCCAACAGCACTCGAAGTTTAACACCATCCAGGACAAAGCAGCCTGTTTGATTGGCAGTACATCCACAAGCAACAATTCCCACCACCATTGTAGCACTGTGTACTATCTACAAGATGCATTGCAGAAAGTCAACAAAGATCTACAGACAGCACCTTCCAAATTCACGACCACTTCCATCTGGAAGGACAAGGACAGCTGATATATGGGATCACCACCACTTTCAAGTTCCCCTCCAAGCCACTCACCAACTTGACTTGAAAACATAATCGCTGTTCCTTCACTGTCACTGGGTCAAAATCCTGGAATTCCCTCCTTAATGGCATTGGGGGTCAACCCACAGCAGGTGGACTGCAGCTGTTCAAGAAAGCACCCACCCCAACACTGTCACAAGGACAATCAGGGAGGGGCAGTGAATGCTGGCCAGCAATTGATGCCCACATCCCACAAATGACAAAAAAACAATTTCAGATATCTCAGTGCCTATCTCCAAACAAATCTAATAGGAAATCAGACATGGTATAACAATTCAAATCAAACTTAAAGCTATACATTGTTTTCCCACATTAGAACTCAAGAGATCAGGGGAAATGGGGAGGCAGTGAGAAACTGAAGTCGAAATCCAAGATTGTACTGAATGGTGGAACAGGTTCAACAGCTCAGATGCTCTACTTTTGCTTCTATCTTGTGCTCTATTGCAACAATTTTCTTCTGAGAAAACGAGACACCATGTTTAAAATATTCTTTTGGCAGGATCCAAAGTACAAACCTGTTACTGTGTATTTAGAAAGTTAGTAACAGTGCAATAAATGGAACAAAAACAAAGCTGCTGGAAAAGCTCAGCAGGTCTGGCAGCATCTGTGAAGGAGAAAACAGAGTTAACATTTCGGGTCAGGTGACCCTTCTTCAGAATGGATGGTGGCTGGGAAAACGCCAGTTTAAATGCAGAAAATAGGGAGGTGGGTGGGTTAGGGAGTAAATGATAGGATAGAGCCCAAAGAGAGAGAAAGACAGTTGGACAAAGGAGTTGCTACTGATCAGGCTGGGAGGGTGAACAGTTGTTAATGGGGACTGTTAGTGACTAACAACAAGGGGTGTGTAATGGCAGGCTATGTGGTAACAAGGCCTGGTGTGTGGGGTAGGGGGCTGGGACATGGGAGAGTTATGGCCCTAAAATTATTGAACTCAATATTGAGTCCGGAGGGCTGTAGGGTCCCCAAGCGGAAAATGAGGTGTTGTTCCTCCAGCTTGTGTTGGGCTTCGCATGGAATTCAGTGGACATGGTATATGGAGATTTGCAGATTCGAGAAAGGTTACAATGAGTCAGAAAATAATGAGTTTAACTCCTATGTTCAAAAAAGGAGACCAAAAATGGGAAACCACAGGCTGGTTAGGTTAACATCCATCTTAGGGAAGATGTTAGAAACTTTATTAAAGACATTATAGCATGCAGTTAGTAATCAGGCAGAGGCAATGTGGTTTTGTGAAAGGGAAATCATGTTTACTGATTTCCTTGCGAGTTCTTTAAGTAACGTGCTGTGGCTAAAGGGGAACTGGTGATAGTTAGCACTTAAGTTTCTAGAAGCAACTGATAAGGTGACACATCAAAGGTTATTGAGGAAAATAAAACTCATGGTACAAAGGGTTACAATGGCTTTGAAAGAAGATTAAAGTCAAAATGCTACAGATGCTGAAAATCTGAAACAAACTGAACACTGGAGAAACTCAGCAAGTCTCATAACTCTGTTTCTCTCTCCACAGATGCTAATGTTTGGAGTCTGGATTGACTCTTCATTGATAGATTAGCTAACTAGCAGGAAATGGGGGCAGTAGACATGGAGGACTCATTTTCTGGTGGGCAAGACATTAAGAAGTGGTGGGCCACGAGAATCAGTGCTGGGCTTCAGCATTTTACAATTTATATGAATGACTTAGATGAAAGCACCAAAAGTACGGTTGCTAAATTTGGTGATGACAGACAGGTAGGAAAGCAAGTTTTGAAGAGGAAATAAGAAGGCTACAAAGGGATATAACTTGAGTGGAAAAGACATGAAAATTAAAATATTAAGATTGAAAAG